GTTAACCGTCCATTTTTTTTTGTTAATGTTAATTTTTTTTATTTTGTTATTAAATTTTTATAACACGGATCTCAAGTTTAACGGGTTAACCTAGTTTGACGAGTTAACCCAGAGTTTTTTTCTGCTTTTTTTCTTTTTAATTTTTTTTTGTTTAGTTTAGTTTGTTAATATTAAATTTCTTTCTATTTAATTATCAAACTTTCATGATACATATCTTAAGTTTTACGAATTAACCTGGTTTTACAGTTAACCCAATTAATTATAGGTTAACTCATCCATTTTTTTTTTGTTTTTTTTTCTTTTGTTAATACTAAAAAAAAATTTATTTAGTTATCAGATTTTCATAACATGAATCTTGGGGTTAACGAGTTAACCTGATTTGGCAAGGTAACTTGAAGTTTTTTTTCTTTTTTTTAATTAATTTTTTCCGTTTAGTTTAATTTATTAATGTTAAATTTTTTTCTATCTAACTATCAGACTTTCATGACACATATTCCAAGTTTGACAGGCTAACCAAGTTAATTCTGGGTTAACCCATCAATTTTTTTTCTATTTAATTATCATACTTTTATAACGTGAATTCTAGGTTCAATGAGTTAACCTGGTTTGAAGAGTTAAACCAGTTAATTTAGATTTTTTTTTTTGTATTCATTAGTTTTTTCCTCTTATAGCTTTTTTTTTCTTTTTAATTAATATTTTTTGTTTAATTTAGTTCATTAATATTAAATTTTTTTCTATTTAGTTATCAATTGATGCCTTTAGTTTTTTTTTTATGTCTTTGACTCTAGATTGCATAGTGCAGTTCATAGTGAAAAAGCTGATGCATTTTATTTATTTTTTTACTTTTTAATTTTTTTAAAAATTTTGGTTTATTTATGTTAAAAAAAATTTTATTTAGTTATAAGACTTTCAAAACATGAATCTCATGTTTAACAGGTTAGTCTAGTTAATTTAATATTTTTTTATTAGTTTTTTCTCTATTTAGGTTTTTTCTTCTTTGTTTTTCCCTTTTTAACTAAATTTTATAAATTTATTTTGTTGATATTAAAATTCTTTATATTTAATTATCAGACTTTCATGACACAGATCTCAGGTTTGACAGGTTACCCGATTAATTTAGATTTTTTTATTTTTCTTCATTTGTTTTTTCTTCCTATAGGTTTTTTTCTTTTAATTCAGTTAGTTTTTTTTCTTTTTACTTTTTTTTTTACTTTTTTTATGCCATTAACAGTCCATAATGAAAACCGATGCTTTTTTTTTCATTTTTAATTAATTATTTTCATTTCTTTTAGTTTGTTAATGTTAATTTTTTTATATATTTAGTTACCAAACTTTCATGACACGAATCCTGGGTTTAACAGGTTAGCCCAGTTAATTTTAGGCTAACACGTTATTTTTTTTTTATTTAGTTATCAAACTTTCATGATATAAATCTAATATTTGATGGGTTAACTCAGTTAATTCAGATTTTTTTTATTTTTTTTTCTTCATTAGTTATTTTCTTCATGTTGTTTTTTTTACCTAATCTATTTAATTATCACACTTTTATAATATAACCTTGCAGCCAGACCCACATCCAAGGCTATTGGATTTAATATTGCACTCAAACTCACTTAAACTTGAATCATGCAAGTTTAATATTGTTATTAATATTATAAATATTACTCTTAAGTCAGACATTGTAGCTAAATCTAAAACTTTTGAATATAGTTTTGTAGAAAGACTTAATACTTTTAAATCTTAGCTTTTTCTATATTTTTTATATAAAAAAATTGACCCGTAGCATCGCGCGGGTCATCTAACTAGTTTATATCTATAACAATCTTTCAAGAATTATTATTTTATATTTTCAACCTATTCACAAATATAATTGCTATTCAAAACAAGTTTGTATTTATTTTATTATTATTTGTTATGCATTGATATATACTATTTATGATATTAATTTTTATAAAAAATTTAAATTAGATTAAATATAAATATAAAGATTTTATTAAAGTAACATAAATTTTAGAATTTAAATTCATCTATTCAATTGATATACAAATATATTTTTAGAATTACATGAAAGAAACGACATAAGAAACACAATAACACAAAACTTTACTAAATAGAATAATCACACTAAAAATTATAATTTAAAATTTTATTTCTTAATAATTTAGTAAACTAATTAGTCTCTTTTTAGATTTATAACTTTTTAAATAAACTAAAAAATAATCTAAAGAAATCAAGAAACCTAAAAATTAAAAACAAAAACAATAAAATCTGTAAATAAATTAATATATATATATATAATTATTAAATATAATATCTAATCTTCTAAACTAAATAAAAAAATACAAATATCTAAGAAAATAAATAATTTTTTTTCTAAAAAAATCCTCATGCATTACAGAATCTAGTAACCCACGATTCGATAATCAATATGGTTGGTGGAGCTAGTTTAAAAGACTTGAGTTATTATGTGCAAGGAAAGGTCGGGGCAAAATTTAATTCCTCTAATAAAAAAAAAGTACCTCAATTGGATAAGTGATATATAAATTATATTTTTATTAAAGCATACAAATCTTGCGAAATCTTTTAATTTGAAAGAAAAGGAAAGATTTTTTTTTTGTTAGATTTTTTATATATTACCTTTAAATTATATTATTTGATTCATATAAACAATCCAATTTGACATTGCCGTGGATATGTAAAAAGAAAAGATGAGAACAACATTTAACTATAATTAATAAAAACCTAAAAGAGCTCACTCTTTCATTGTAGACACAAACTCAGGAGCATTGTAGATCATAACAATATAATAACGATTTAGCCCTTTTCAGCAAAAATAACTAATTATAGGTGGCGTGTGCTAATATGTAGAATATGTTCGTGTTATTTAAACGACCAAAAGTAAATTCCAGGATGACACTAAAATCATCTTAATAGTTTTTTTATTTCTCAACAATGCATGTAGCCAATAAATCTATGATTTAACATTAATGATTTTTTGTGTTTATCTTTCTTTATTTTTTTCTCCTGGATTTACATTCCATCATTTAAATTTTCAAATGGCCCTTTAATTTTTTTTATTCTTTTTATTATTATTTATTTTATTTAAAGTAATTTATACAATTAGAGTCTTTTTAAATTTCATTCTCTTTTAATTTTTTTAGCTATTAGATAGTTCTCATTCTTTTTATTGATATTTTTTATTTAAGATAATTCTTAAAAAAAAATTATGATTTCATCCTTTTTCAGTTTTTTTCTCCTATAAAATTTGATATTTATTCTTTTGTTGCTAGTTTTCTACTATGATTTTTTTAAATTGAAATTTTTTTATTTCAACATTAAATTGTTTGGAAATTGAGATTCTTGATTGAGTCCGAATCTATAATTTTATGAATTTTGAGTTTGAGAAATTAACCCAAGTTTAAGATATTCACTTGATTTATTTGCTTTTTTTCTTTTTTAAAGCTCTTTTTATTTTAATTTCATCCTCCAATATTTATTTTAGTGAAGATTGAGCTCCATTATTTTATTTTATTTTGCTTTCTATAGGTTTTCTTTTTTACTATTTTTGAAAATAAATAAGGTTATCTCATTTCTTTTAATTTTTTGTTCTATGTTAAATTTAGATATTTAAAAATAAATCTTGTTTTTGAATTGAATTAAGTTAATTAATCAAATATAAAAATAAGATGTGCATTTCATGATAGCTTATTTTTTATAGTTAATTATTATTTTTTTATTGTTTACTTTATTTACTATCGATGTTTTTATTAATTATATATTAAATTAATTAAACTTATTGAATCTAGTCAAGTCAATGACCCAAGTCTTAAATTTTTTTTATAAAAAAAAATTATAGTCACTTAAGAATCCTTTTTTTATTGGGAAAATTTTTACATGATTAAAGGTATAGCTCAAGTCAACTATCTAATAAGATATTAGTAAATGTGTTTGTTGTATAAATTTAGAAGGATAAAATTAAACCTTTTCGTATATTTCTCCACGCATGATATATGTAATTATAAAATATACTAAATATTTAAGTAAAATATTGTAGCAAACCACAATTACTAAAAAAATTCAATTTTCATCCTTGAACTTTTTTTTAATTGTAGCCTTTTATGTCCTAATTAATGATCAATTTATTAGAATTTATTTAGAAAAGAAAATAATTAACAATAGAACCAAGTGTAAAACAATGAGAAATCTCATAGTTAGTATGAAATCCACTAGAAAAAATTATGTTTAGTCCACCTACTTTTTTTTTTCTTACTTTGCATTCTCTTTAGTTTTAGTAATTTTAATTTTGATTTAAAAGTTTAATTTCTTAATATTTTATTTTCTAAGCTTAAAAGAGAAGAAATAAATTCAATGAAAACTACAAAGAAAAACTACAAAGAAAACTTGTTTTTCTTGATTTAATGTGTTCAATTTGATAAGAAGAATTTAAGAAGATGTTTTTTCTTGTCTAAAAAATTAAATCATGTTCTTTTAGATTTTTTGATATAATTGCTTTTTATTTATTTTTTTGTGATTTTAGAGTGTTTTAGTGTTAGTAAGTGGTTTGTGGAGGTTTTATGATGTTTTTAGATAAAAATAATTTTTTTAATTATATAGTTTTATTTTTTTAACTGTAATAGTAAATTAACAATACTTATTAAACTAAATCAAATAAATATTAAAGTCATAGATTTTATCAAGAATTTTTTTTTCATATTAAAAAAATCCAGCAAATAACATATCACATACCACCAATCTAGTATTATTTCTATTTCGTAACAAACTTGTTAAATCTAAAATATGAAGATAGGAGCGTCCATACATTTGATGGCTTGTTTAAGACCAGGGAAAGGAGGTGTCCACGAAAGTCGGCGCTATGATACACTTCCATGGGCCCTTGTTATGTGAGCCCAATACCAGAGACTGGATCGAGCCTAGAAAGACCAGATCCTCGTATTTACTCCGCGTTGTGTACCATCTTCGAAATTACTCGTGCCAGACAGATAGAAATTGCAGCTTCCCTTAACGATATAACAACTGCCCTCTCTTCGATCTGTCTTTTGTTTTTGTTATTTATTTATTGCTGTACATATATTTTCACCATCATAGTCTCTTGTTCCTCGGATCCTTTAATCCGAAACCAAAAATCCACATGCTATAATCAGGTAATTCTTTCTTTCTTTCTTGCATGGTCATTTGATACTTGAATTATGATTTGATGGGTTTCAGTTTGGGTTTATCAACATGTGATTGCATTGTTTCATGGGGTCTTAATTGGGTTTTTTTGTTCGGTTCGTGAAGATAGATCGTAGGGATCTTGTTTATTTTATGTTGAGTTATAAAAGGAAGGTTGGAGGTTTTGTTTCTGTTGTGAGTTTTTCTTTTCTTTTCCCTTCTAATAATGGCTTTTCACTTGGTTTTTTTTATATATTTATAAATATAAGGCAATTTCAGAAACTGAATCACGGTTTTTTGTTTTTTTTTAACATACTTTAATGGATACGATTCAATTCTTAGATTTCAGATAATTTACAGACTGATGCTTCGATTTTAAGTTCAGCTTAAGGAATGTTTCTTCTTCTTTTTTTAATTAAATATTGGTCTTAAAGACAGAATCTTGATCAAATTTGCTTGTTTGGCCTCTAATGGATCTGGGTTTTCTATTTTTAACATAATGCAGTTATTTTGTATATCCGAGGGAGTGAAGAAGTAAAGATGGTGAAGCTAACAATGATCGCGCGTGTTACTGATGGACTTCCGCTAGCAGAGGGACTGGATGATGGTCGTGATGTGAAAGATGCTGAAATGTACAAACAGCAGGTCAAGGCACTTTTCAAGAACCTTGCATCTGGCCACAATGACGCATCGAGGATGTCCGTTGAAACGGGTCCTTATGTTTTCCAGTATCCTGCAATTTATTTTTATTTATTCATTTCATAACCTTTGGAAGTTTGTTCTTGATAGCCTGACATTTTTGTATATTGCTTCTAAACATTTTTATTAGACTTGCTAAGCATGCGTAAACTTGTCTTTAACTTTCCTATTTTTAGTTTATCTTCCTCCAACGCTAAGGATTCTACACCTACTGCAGAATCATGCAATCTCGTATTAGTTATGCCCAGAAGTCCAATATGTTACTGGTTTTTTGTTAACAGTTTAATGACACAGCAGAGAACTCATAAAAAAATGACGAATTTCTTACCAATCATATATATATGTATAAGTGTATTGTTCTGGTTGTGAAAGCAGCTGTACCTGCATATCTGTATTTGTTTTTCCACGTGCTGATGGTTTTTCATTGAACTTTATGTGGTCATTTGGCCCATCTGTTCTATTAGAGTGCAAGTTAGCTTTTAATATGTGCAGTTAAACACTTGTAAGCTTGCTTGTGAATCTTTTTTTTGTTTCCCTAATGACCTAATTTATGCTCATGTTATGCTACTTGATACTATCAATTCACATGGTCCGTTCCTTTTTCTGAATTTTGAACTGTGGGATTTATGGGTTTTTTATTTTTTTTATTTTGTATCTTGTAAAACTTATTCCATGATTTCTGCTTTCTTACTATCTTTATAGTCAACCAGACTAGATGTTTTCCTTCACCTGAGTAGTTATATCATTGAAGGACGTGTTTGTTACCTTACTATGTGTGACCGCTCTTATCCTAAGAAACTTGCCTTTCAATACCTGGAAGACCTTAAGAATGAATTTGAACGTGTCAATGGGGCTCAAATTGAAACTGCTGCTAGACCATATGCCTTCATTAAATTTGGTAAGTTTTTATTCCTATTGAAATAAAATTGTTCTTACAGATATTTAAATTCCTTTACACTCTCTTTGGCACTTTGACTAGGATTGATTTTGTTTTTCATGTCTATGTTCTTAAGACACTTTCATACAGAAAACAAAGAAATTGTATCAGGACACCCGCACCCAGCGGAATGTTGCAAAGTTGAATGATGAGCTGTATGAAGTCCACCAAATAATGACTCGCAATGTGCAGGAAGTTTTGGGTGTTGGTGAAAAGCTGGACCGTAAGATGTCTGATTGATCGATTTTATGATTATGGTGCAAGTAAAACATGATCCATGTCTATACATGAATTGAATATATTAGTGTTTATGAGTTTTTATGTATGTTTAAATGTGGTGTTAATTAGATTAGGTGATGATTATATAAGCATGCTCAACTGGGATATACTAACAAGCTATGTGGATGTTATATATGCCCTAGAAATGTCAGCTGGCATCTGTATTATATGCTATAGAGACGTATGCATTTTCCTTGTTCAATAAGTTAGTCCTTTGATTATTGTGAAGCTGACAAAAGTAATAGGAACTTATTGATGCAGGGCGGAATGCACCACCTATTTTCCTTGGTCACATATCTCCACGTAGAAATTGTACTCAAACCATATTTTTTGGGGCTTGCCATTATTGTGCAATGATAGAACACCAGATATATGAACTCTTGCAGGGAATCATATTTATCCCTTTTTAGAGAGCTTTTTTCTTTATCAATGAGTGTGTGTTTGGTATTGTGGTGCAGGGTGTTTTTCAGAAGTGCTTTTCAATTGAAAATGCATTAAAATGATGTTTTTTTCTGTTTTTTTTACATTAGCAAAAAAAAAAAAAAGAGCACTAAATTCATAAATTATTAAGCTTAACCAAATCATGTTTCTTCAATATTTGATTTTGGCCAGATAACACTTGTTCCTTGTATTTACATGTGAGTGACATACTACACACATCAATTGCTTTTTGCCTCATCATTTGTGTTTTAATCATTCCTTTCTTTCACTTGGATAAAAGATGCTAAATTCTTACATTTCACCCCCCTCTCAATATATTCACAAAAATTCTCTCTTGCATCTTTGGTGACAATGCAGAGGTCAGTCAAATGTCAAGTCGGTTAACATCAGAATCTCGCATTTATGCTGAAAAGGCAAGAGATTTGAATCGACAGGTTAGTTTCATTTGCTAAGCAGTTAACATACAGTGTTAATCCAACTGACACTTCAGCAACTTGATCTCAATTTGTATGCTTTTATCTAAAGTAATGTGTATGAAAGGGTTTTCATGAAAAAGGTTGTCATGTATTCTAGGGCCTTTGTTTTCTTTACCTTCTTGACAATTCTTTGAAGAAGTCTTGGGGCAAAAGTGGCCTTTATCTGTTTTTCAAATGGCAGTGAACTTTATCCTAGTGTTGGTGTCATAATGTCTTGTGGAAATCATCTGGAACTGAGATTCATGTGGCATATTATGGTTAAAAAGAGAATCATTCTCATGTCCTTTAAAAGGAAACAATTGGTTTTAGAATATCCATGAAACATTCAAGTGTTTTATATATATTTTTTTTTATATAAGACTGGTCCCGTGATTTTATTTTATTTTTATTTTTTTGTTATTGACCATGGTAAACCATGGGATTGCGACCTAAAAGATTTTAGAAGAATAGGTTGATGTGGTTTATGTTCTTAAAATCAGTTTGGTGCTCCACTATTTCTACGAGATTGGCACGTTAGGCTCTATGCACTGTGCTTTACCTTTGATAGTAGTTAGTTTCCTTCTTTCAGATATAGTATATTTTTTTTGGTTAATTCTTTCAGATAGAATTGGGTTTCAGGATCGTTTCCTCAAGGTCTTTAACTATAGGTCTTGTTGGAATTCTAAAATTTTCTCCATGCTTGTTTTAATATAATTTTCTTTATTATACGTGTTTTGTGATAAATGTTGGCATTGGTTACTGCTTAGTTCTTGACAAATGCTAAAACATAACTGCATGTAGTACATACACTTGAAATTTACTTACGATCTGCTTTACACGATTTGAGTGCAGGCCTTGATTCGAAAATGGGCCCCTGTTGCTATTGTGCTAGGAGTTGTCTTCCTCCTCTTTTGGGTTAAAACAAAGCTCTGGTGATCCAATGGCCTTCTGTGGTTTCTGAGAAATGTTGCATATTTTTCCTGGGTTTCTCTGCGTTGCAGTCTGTTGCCTGTGTTCGTGGTGCAAGTTCAAACTTCAGAGACTTCATATTGTGGACTGGACACGCACATGAAGGCCTAATGTTTCAAAGTGGACTCTAGTTTTCGCTCATGACACGCTAGTTAAAAGGACTCTAGTTCTTTATGTACACATCTGAACAAAATATGGAAATGTGAAAGAGAAACCCTTTATCGTACAATTAGGGAAGGATCAAATATATTGGATTAAATTCGAGGATCTTCCGAATTCTCGACACTTTATAGAGGCCTTATAAATATCCATAATTCATCAGTATCCAAGATGTGCTCTAGATTACATTGATATGTTGCCTGCAATTCTTACTTTACATTAATGATTTATTCCGCACCCCTCTTGTTTGGTTACCGGTCACCACTTCTTTTTTTGTAAGCATTATAACCATATAGTTTGCTGAAGTTTTCAAGTGCCATCATGCTATGATCCGCCTCAGTCCGCATGGTGAAGTTTGCCAATTTTTGGACATCGTGTTTTCTCGGATAAGGACAACCCTTGATGATTTTATGGTTTGATGATGATTGAGTTTACGAGTAGTCCATGAATGGTAAAAATACTCGACATGGATTTGCTTCCCTTTTTCTGCTGAAAGAGAATGACATTTCTTCCTCATAAAATACCAGGAATCATGCGAGGACCGAGCATGAGAGGCTCCAATCCGTGCTCTAATGCCTTTTTGAATCCTTTGAGAAGTATGCTCCGAATGGCTTCCAATAATCAGCCATAAGCAAACAATTTACCACAGTAAAAAGAGATTATTATATATTTGGTGTACAAGATTTTTTTTTATTTTAAGTGTCCTTTCCATTTTATCTGCTCAGCCTCAGCAGATGCTGCTGCTAGTGCCCTATAATTAACTTGATTGCATCTAAAAGAATATCAGTTATTGCTTCAAACTGTTTTGGTACTTTAATATTCATGCATTTCAATATATAAGTTCTTGCGGATTATATTTATTACTTTTCACTATTCATATATTCTTCTGATTTTCTTATAAATGAATATATTTAAAAAAAAAATTGAATTAATATGTTTGATAGTTAGAGTCTAAATAATTATATATAAAGTTTAATTGAATTAGTTATATCGCGAGGTGACTAACCATGCTTCGCTATAAATCAAATCAATTTTTTTAAAAATATAAAATAAATTGTGCAAATGTTGTTATTGTATTTTCTATTTGCAAGAAGAAATTTGATTCCGAACTTAAAATTTGATGTATATAATTTTTTCTTTCTTTTAAAAAATCGACGAAATGATATCTTTGATTGACTTGGATCAATGCAAGCTAACCCACCATGCTCCCACCATGCTCGTAATGTAAGTTATAAACTTAACTGAGCTTAATAAAATCATTTTCCTGGAACAATTGTTATTTAATTATATAATAGCAAAAAATATATTGTTAGGAAAGTAACCGGATAAAATCAAAAAAAAATAATCATGATTGGATGTAAAATAAAAGGTTAGCTAATATTATAAAAAGACTAATATACTTTTATTCAAAAACACATCACGTAATAAAATAATATAAAATTTTATTATTTATCAATTTAAGAGTTTAATAAAATAATATATTTTTAATTAATTAATTTTAAAGAAAAAATAATTTTAAATTTAAATAAAAAATAAAAACAAATTAGATACACGATAACCTAGCATGCATAATCCTTTAAAAAAGGACACAAATGCATATGCCTTCCCAGCCATGTCCATATACCTCGCCTAATAAGCTTGGAGAGCTTTGAGAAAAAAAAACCTTATTTCCTCTCGGTGGAGAATTCTCATTATATAGAAAGAAAATAACCTTATCTCCAAATACCAACTACTATTGATAAATTTACAAGCATAAATTTGCTAACAAGAAAATAATAATGCTAACATGTCATGAATTTGGTAAAGATATTTGCAATTTGTTAAGTAGTGAATATGTATGGAAGAGTAAATACTTTATGGTCAAAGACCTCCCGAATAAAATGTCAGACAACCTCTATGTGTTTCATGCACTTGTAATAGATAGGGTTAACAACAATTTAAATGACATTAATGTTTTCATCATGTAGCGGAGTAAGGTAAATGTAGAAGAAACCAAGCTCTATGAGGAGACTATGTAATTAGATGGTCTCGATATAGACAACATACAAGGCACAACACTCAACCTTAATGATGACTTGGAGATGCAATCCTACTTCTTGCATTTCCAAGAGATAAAAGCATTGTCAAGAAATAAACATCATCCAGTAGTGAATTTTCTAGTGTCTAAACAAACCTTTTATTGGCATCAGAGTAGGCTTATAACTGGATTAAAAAACTAGTAAAGAAGAATAAGTCACGACTAGATATGCCAAAATTATATCAAATCATATGGGAAACAATGGCTAGTTGGAGATGTTAGGGGGCTTGTATGAACTTATTAATAGTGTGGATAACATAAGAGATATGAGGTTAAATTATGGTTAGGTAGAAAAGACTACCAACTAGCTTTCAATAAAGAGTGGGATCTTCAAGAAGCTCCCCTTCATCACATTAATTTTCATGGGAATTATATGTGAGTCATGTTAAGATACCTTAAATCCAATGTTAAATCTTTAACCCCAAGAAACGAGTTGTCCAAGATCTTTCATGTGAAAAATAGATTCAATAATTTTTTAATCTTAGAGATGGTCACCATAGCATAACTAGTAATAATAATGTCATCTATAATAAATAAAAAGAACAATTATCTCATTAGGTGTTTTTTATAGAAAAAAAAGAGAGTCATATTGACTCTGAATAAATGAAAAATCAATGATGTTGATTTAAAAAATTTCAAACCACGTCCTTGGTGCCTATTTCAAACCATACAAAGAACAATTTAGTTTTCAAATATAAATAGGTGAAGAAGTGGACATACCAAAAGAAAGTTTGATTTAAACTTTCTTTTTATGGTCACCATGTAGGAATGCATTCTTAACATCTAATTGATATAAAGGCCAGGATTAAGAGGTGGCAATGGTTATAATTATATGCATGATGGTGATCTTAGCTGCTAGTACAAATATCCAATCATAGTCTAAGTCATGCTCTTACTTGTCAATAACCATTAATCAAGTCTTATTAACAATCTATGGATCTGTCAAGAAAAATCTTAATAGAAAACACTCACTCACTCACTCCTAATAGGTTTCATAAATGAAGACACAAAACAACATCTCAGGTATAGTTTTTTTCAAATGCTAAAAGTTCTATTTCAATAACTTTTCACCAATATTCATGCATCATTACATGTTTATAACTTAAGAAAATTATTATAAAAGACAGGGTGGTTATAAAAGATAAAGGAGTATCGAAACAAAACCTATATGAGTACTGTGTCTAAGACGAGCAAGTGAAGTTGTTGGAACTAGATCAATTATTAGGGGATTAGTTGGAGGTGACTCAAGAGGTGCTAGAATCCAAATGGATGGGCAGCGAGGTCATTATTGGTACACTAGAAAAGGCTTAGAAGTTATTGGATTTATAGAATGATAAGTAAACATGAACAAAACAAAAAATAAAAGGGAAACAAGAGCATGGTGAGTGGAAAAGGAATATTAGTTTTCTAGAAAGATTACATTTCTATAAACCTGAATATAACACAGATTTGGATCATAACAAAGAAAACATTTATATTGTATAGAATATCCTAGAAAATCATATTTAATAGACCGGGTGATGAGTTTTGTGTGTTTGTGTGTGAAAGGTGATTATAACATATAATGCAATGTATAATGGTTAGAATCATTCAGAGTATGACAAAATAATTGAGTGAAAGGATACTTATGGTGCTATAAAAGAGAAAGCAATTTATTTATAAGATTAACAATAACAGAGAGGGCTTCACACCAGAACCAAGAAGGCATAAATAACTTTAATAAGAGGGTGCAGATAACATCGAAAAGGTGATGGTTTTTTCTTTTAACAACCCTATTTTGTTGAGAGGTTAAAAGACAATACATTTAAGAGATTATGACATATATTTGTAAAAGCTCTTAAAACAAGTGAGATATCTTATCACCTTGATTGTCAATGTAAGACTCATGTTATAGTCATCAAACTCAAACTCAAGAACTCAACTTAACCTATCTACTTGAGAATTAATTTATCCTTATTCTCTTTTTCTCTTCTTTATTGTGACTTTTCTCTCAAATATATCAAAAATTTGACTCTATCTAAATTTCAACTTTTGAGCTTTAGAAATGTTGAAAAAACAAGTATCATGACTCCATCTTGTGTTGTTTTTAATTGGAGATTTAATAGTTAGTGGACTAAAAAAATGTTTTAGGATTTTTATAATGTTTAATATCTTGATTTGATTTGATATATGGATGATTTAAGAGGTATAATTGATGTTTATGATGTTAATTTTGGATTAAAATGAACTAATTGAGGACTAGAATTTCGAGTTTTGAGAATCTGTATAATTTTTAAAAGTTTAGAATATCAAGATTCTAGAATTTTGATAAAGCAAACGACTAATTGGTTTGAAATGGCTAACTAGTTGGCTTGATGGTGATGTCCAACTAGTTAGGCCTAATGGTGTCTGTTGACTGGTTAGTCTATTTTTTTTATTAAAAAGTGGCGGTTGATCAATTTTTTTAGGTTCGATCAGTTTGAGATAAGTTCATGATCAATCAAGTGGATCTATTTTGGTTTTATAATTGCATTTTAGTCTCTAATGTTAGAGTTGAGATCTTTTATGTTATTTTTTTAGTTATTTTTTTAATATTTTTCATGTTTGTTATAAGTTATGTTAACGTTCTTATTAAAGATCCTCAATAGTCTTTAGGATAATTAATATGCATGTAATATAAATACAAATATATTAATTAAATGATGAGTACAACTTATTATTTTTTAAATAATTATATATATTGTTTTATTTTCTGAGTACTTATCTACTCTTGAAATCACATTTATATTATGTTAAATTAATTCTATTTGAAATGATATTCAAATGATTTTATAAAATATGAAAGTTTTGTTAGGTTTTGATATTAGAATTCTTGTTAGAAACTTCATACTAATGAATAGTGATTAGTTATATGCATGTTTGTATATCTAGCTAGTGAAAGAGATATCAGTCTATGGTGATTGATTCTCTTATAATTATTGGATTACAAACCTTATTTATTATCAGAATCTTAAGGTTTCGTATATTATCTATTATCTGACTTGTATTCTACTACTATATGCTATTATATTGAATATATATATATATATATGTTTT